TATAAATAGAAGATTGTGAGAGGGATCAATTAAGCCCTCAAGAATTATTTCTTTTGAATCTTAAGTCTCTTCATGAGAGGACCAAACACATTGAGATCGACTGTCATTTTATTCGAGAGAAAATTGTATCCGGAGATATCAAGACCGAGTTCGTTAGTTCAAGTGTTCAGTTAGCAAATATTTTCACTATGTCTTTACGGGGCCAAGAATTGATTATATTTGTAACAAGCTTGGTACATACGATTTGTATGCACTAGCTTGATGAAAGTGTTAGATATATTATCTTTATCTTTTATCTTTATTTAATTTGTTATTATACTTATTTGTATTTTTGGTTTATCTCATATTTCTTCTATTATAAACAGAGGGGGATTAATCCCTATGTGTATATTCAACGCAAGGAGGATTAATCCCATACATAGTTTTCACTATATTCAACAGTTTCTAATGACAAAGGGAAGGTCTAGATTTTAGTCCACCTGTCCTTCTAAATTTTCATATACAAGCTCATTAGAATTATAATAATTTATAAGATTCAAAATTCGTTACCTCATGAAATTGTGGCATTACAATTGGAAATCAAGTCTACTATTGTAGCACTCAAAATATTGTTGTGGCCACTTTTTTGACATTTACGTTATAGTTTTTCATCATTATGGACATGAAACCTTTAGTTGCTATCGTTGCTCTAAAACAATATGAGCGAAGTGTGCCTTTAGGTCTCCAACATACAACCTTCATCACTCAAGGATATTACACTCCACACACCCTTTTGTTGTCCAACTTCAGTAATGCCTATGACCCCCAAAATGTGAATGATTGCAATCCAATGTCTTGCACATGGAGAATTAAGAAATTTATTTACCACACTTACCACAAAGGTATTGAAAATGTCTCTCCCGAACTTGATAGAAGTTTAACATTGTGATTCATAGGTGTGTCAAGGGGCTTGGACATCACTAGAATCTCCTAGAAAATATGTAACGTGTACTTCCTCTAAGATATTACAATTACATTTTTCGATTATTCTACCTCCACATGGAGTATCTAAGTTTGTTTGAAAATGTCATCATATACTTCTTAAAGACATCAAATGTAAGGAGAGGGTGACAATGTCATCAGCTTATACTTGTAAGTAGAAAGAAGACTAAAGAAGGTCTTGTCAAGTGTTATGAAATAGTGATGAATTGAGGGTGAGAAATACTTATACCCTTTTTTAGACTTAGGTGATAATTTGTTGACCTCAAGACTAAGATTGTGAACAAAATAGGTAGATTCGAAGACTATAGGAGTTAAGGGATCGAAAAGTTGACGAGGGAACACAATAGACTGACAATATAGCACACAATGAGAACATCACTACAAAATTGTTGAGAACATATCCATGAAGTAAAAGAGTTTGAGTAATTTGAATAAGGTGCCTATTCTTGTACTTTGTCTCCCCATTTTGATAAGGGGTATGCATTGGATCTTTGTTGAAGAATACCATGGAAAGTCATGAAAGTTTGAAAAGTATGAGGGAGGTGTTTACTAGCATATTCGATACAAAAAATACGAATAAAAGCACGAAATTGATTTTTAACTTTATTATAAAAGTATTGAATTATGGAAAACAACTTAAAACGATTCTTCATTCAAAAAAGAATTACATTGAGAATAATCAATGAATTACAAATATTGAAATCTTAAAGTAGAGTTAACACAATTGGGTCCCCAAATATTTGTTGGGAGGACACTCTTTAAGAAATGGACTATGACTATGTTTTTCTAATTTACAAGATTTACATGACAAAGTTGACAACTTAGATGTGGTACAAGGTGTTGAAGCTTATCAAGGTTAGGATGACCCAGTTGAGCATAAATTAGAAGAAGGAAACTGAGATGGGATATGATGAATTTTGTGTGTTTAGAATTTATAGGAGAGATAACATATTACAGGCTACTCTCTTTGAGGTGAATAACATAAATATGCTAGAAGTCTAACTGATTATGATTACGTCCATATCTATGATTCTAACACCAAGCCAATGATCGGAGACAAATTTGTATCAACATAAATGCTTAAAAGCAAAATAAAAAATGACAAATATTTTGAAAATAGCATAATCGCATTCTACCGTCACAGTATTTATAAAGATACTTGTATTTAATTTATTAATTTGAGGATTCTTTGTTTCATTTTTAAGGTGCTTGATATTCTCCTTTAAGTGAACTGTAATTGGGAACAATATTTTATAAACATATAATTTCTACTTATCTCAGGAATCATGGGCTGCCACATCCAAGTCATAATTAGTGAATCTTCATTGTCCCAAATTGAACGTCTGGCCTTGGTGCCCCTCCATTTATGATATTTAGTCTTGAATGTCCCTTGAGAATCCTTCAAATATACTAGCTCTATTATAGGAAATTCCGATCATGCAACCGATAGGCACCCACCATATTGGGTAGATCATTAGGACTCAGGAATAATTTTTACTTCAGACATCGTGTAGAACGCAATCAGGTGTCTCCAGTGAGGTTATCCAAGGCGACGACAACGACAACAAAAAAAGGAGCAAAACCTAAAACTCAGATCTACATAAATCTGGGCCAAACAGGACGTCATTGACCGGTGGAATGGACTCAGGAGGCGCTGACGACCTTGTGTCTAATGGCGGCGACGAGTGGGTCTCGTCGGAACTAGGCGCGTGGGCTACACGCGCCTGCGACAGTGGCGGCGCGTGGTGGTCAGACAGCAACGACGCCAACCGCGGTGGCTACTACCCTATCAATGACCCCAGTCGGCAATGGCGGCAGCCACAGTGGTCAGACAGCAAGAGCGGTGGCTACTTTTGCAAACGGATCTCCCAAGATCGGGAGGTCTAATACCAACTTGAAAAAGAAAATGATTTTATTATTTTCATTCATGGTAATTACATTCTCCTTACCTGTATTTGTAGCAATCTAATCTTCTAGAAAGGGAAATAAGGAAACAAAATAATCTGGAAGATCATACACATGTTTTCTCGAATTAGGAAGATTCTATAAATATTTTTTTCTAATTAAGAAGATTCTATAGATATTTCCTCTAATTACAACAGAATAGGAAACAAATAGTTGGTTTTGGAATTAAAAAAATAGAGAACTATAAAAATAGAGTTGCAACTAGATTAAGAAGAACATGTGTAAAGAGGAGGAAAGGATAAAAAAAATAAATGTGGATAAAAGAAAAGAAAAACAAGAAAGAAGAAGAAAAAAATGTAGAAAAACTTGGTTTTAAGATTTTGGTAGTTGGAACTTGTCATTGTTGCAATTGATTCTGCTGGAGTAAGTTATCACCATAGGTTAGAGTTAACGATAGAGAAAGCTGATTCTCTAATGCATTCACTAGTCAGGGTTCTCACTCTGAGAAGAAGGCTCTATTTTGTAAAAGAGGGATCATTCTATCATGGCGGGTAGTGTTATAATACAGTATATGTGTTGGGGACAACATTCACTTTGTCTTCCAACTTTTAAGGTTGAGTTAGATTCAAATACAAAATTTTAAGATTGCCTTAATTTCATCTTTGAGATGTGTTTTTCGCACATCAACTATAGATACACCCAATGTGTAGTTCTGATAAAGTTTGGGCAATACTAACCATCCAAGTCGGTATTAAGGCTTTAGAAATCATAAGTTTTTATTACATAAGAGGTTGCCATAAATATTACACTGAAACTTACTCGACCCATCATAATAAGATATTTATGTTTCATAAGCTTCACCAAGACGCTTTTTGAACTTATCTAAAAATAACTAGTTATAATTCATAAAGATATTTTATGTCCAAATGAAGCTACTCAAAAGCATTTTCTGAATGCCTCCAAAATTGAAAGATGAATGTAGTTTATTTCAGGTCGAACTCAACATATTCTAGCTTTTAAACTTTTTGGTAAACATGAAATTAAAATTACTTAGTGTATTGCATAAACAGTTTTAGAGCAAACACTGATGAGATTTTGTTAATTAGCAACTGGTCTTATTACGATGGATTTTAATCTTCTACTAACACGCTGACTCTTTTAAGTTAGATCTTTATTATCATAGGTTTTTGGCTTTAACTACAGCTTTCTTTTTCAATAACTATATTATGAGGTTAGATTGCATATAACGGATTTTTAGTGTAGTAGAGAACAAGAGTGGTTGGATATTAAAGTGCATATTGCTTGCTGTTTAAATATTTTCAGAAATTAGCGTAGAGCACCAAATATTTCTGGTCTTGACAATTTAGTATTGGAAACAATGTATTTGTATTTTAGTTATATGACTTTCCATTTTATTGCAGGTTAACTGTCTTTTCATTTGGCTTATTTGCTAGTCCTGCTATGGGAATATGTACTTATATCTTTGAGGTAAGTACATTCGATGAAACTACTTCTTTAGTCAATGGGATTTGGGGTATACTTTCTTGAAGAAATCGCCATCAGTATATGAAAGAATGCATGTTTTAAAATTTATTTATAAGATTCCTGTTGTAATTAGAGAAGATATCTTTAGAATCTTCCTAATTAGAGAAAATAGATATATAATCTTCTATTTTATTTTGTTTACCTAGTTTTCCTATTTTTCTTTTTAGGAGAATTAGATTGTTACAAATACAGGATATGAGAATGTATTTTTTATGATTCAAAATATAATAAAATCAGTCCTTTTTTCAACTTGGTATCAGAGCCAGGGTTGGAGCCTATCCTAGCGAGATCTATGTGGATATTTTGTTCCACCTGTTGTCGGGCCACTATCGGACCACCCATTAATTCTATTCTCACGTTCGAGATGTCTATACCTCGGTGTGAAGGGGGTGTGTTTGAAGTCTCACATCGACTAGAGATAAGGCCAAATTGTAATATATAAGTGGGGTGCAAACCTCACCTTACAAGCCGGTTTTGTGTGGTTGAGTAAGGCTTAAGTCCACTTCTTAACAATTCCAATGCATGTATAATATTTATGTCTTTATCATTAATAATGAATCATTCTTGTTATTTTTTTCTCTTGCTTTTGGCTAGATTAGTTCATTGTCTTCTTTTGGCTAGGGATGCAGCTTAGAAAGGCTGGGAACTGTGACCTTGAATTTATTCAAGCTTAAGATGACCTAACATCCGGGGGTGAGTGGAAGTAGTAAAAACCATGTGCTTCTAATCCAATGCCGCAATTATTCCTCCCATACTCATGGAAATCGAGTAGCATGCATTGGAAGGTTAACACATATAGAAAAGCTTAACAATACAATTTCAGACACAAGACTTTCAATCAAAGATTCTAAACAACATAGATGAACATGTAAAGAACAATAACACAGGAAGGAACTAATAAGTACTAAAGAATAGAATTAAGAGCATATGACTTAATGAATAACAAGGCATGAATAGTTAATGAAGATGAACAATATAAGAACATGGTAAAAAACAAGATTAAGGAGAAAAGGGGAAGAAGAGTTAGAATCACCACTCCACTACTATGAGTTCAAGATAAGACTCCAAATATATAAGATCACTCTCGAGTGTTTCAAGCTCTAAATTTTCATACGACCCAGAGAATTAAAAGAGGAGGAGATTGCTATTTGTGTTTCACGCTCTAAAGTTTCATATAACTCAAAGAGAATTACAAGAGGATGTCAAAATATATTTTAGGAAACTTTAGATATTATTCCCACGTATTTAATTTGTTATATTCTCCTTATCTTGCGATTATTATCTTGCTATTATTACTGGAATAACAATCCCACAATTTTAGGGATTTGTTCCATAGAATAGGCTACTCGTTAAATAAGCTCTTGTATATATATCCAATGCATGTAAGGAGACAAATAATAAAATATATATTCTCTCTCCTAAATTTAAGATGGTATCAGAGCTCCCGATCCTTGGGAGCCTCTAACCGTGTATTTTCATTGCAGCCTTCATCTCTGCCTAACCTTAGGGTTCCATCACAACCTTCATTTTTTGCCCAACCCTAGAGTTCCATCACAGTCTTTGTTTTTGTGCCTTATTTGCACATTTTTGTAATAGCTGAAATGGAAAATGTAAACAAGTTCTAGAATAAAAGGGAAAGGAAAGGTCAGCCATCTCACTAATGATGCTCCCTGCGGAAGAAGATGCCAGATTCAAGTCATGGGATGAAGAAGACTCCATGATCATGGCATGGCTATGGAACTCAATGGTTCCGGAAATTAGCGATACATGCATGTTCCTCACTTTTGCAAAGGCCATATGGATTGCAATAGAGCAAACCTACTCTAAGGCAAAGGATGCTGCCCAAATTTATGAGGTGAAAGCAAAAACAATGGCAACCAAACAACGCACTAAATCTGTCACGGAGTATGCTAATCAACTCAAATCTTTATGGATGGAATTAGATCATTACAGGGTCATAAAGGCCAAGTGTTATGAGGATTCAACAATTCTAAGAGAATACATTGAACAAGATCGAGTGTATGATTTCTTGGTAGGCCTAAACCAAGAATATGATCAAGTCAAAATCCAAATATTACGCAAGGAGAAGGTTCCTGGACTCAATGAAGTAATGACCATTATTCGGAGTGAAGAAAGCAGGAGTCTAATTCTAGAGACCCCAATTGCGGATAATTCAGCTATGATTGTTGAAGGAGCAACAACCATGGTTGCAGAACAAAAAAAGTAGGCTCTTTTTCAAGAACAGAGAAGAAAAATGAAGGAGTTTGGTGCACCTATTGCAACAAGCCACGTCACACAAGGGACAAATGCTGGAAGTTACATGGAAAACCTCAAAGCAAAGATTGGGGACACAAAGGAGGCCTTCCAAGGAGAGGGTGGAAAGCTAATGTTGTTGCTGGTCCTGAAAGTCAAGAAGAAGGATTTGTTCAACTCAACCATGAGGAGTTAGAAAGAGTAAGGTCCTTTCTTAGTAAATTGGAAAAATCCACAGGTACGTGTTCATTGACATACTCTGGTAAGTTCCCATTTTCTTTTGGATTTAAATTCTCAAATACCCCATTTACCCACTATTGGATACTAGACTCTGAAGCCACAGACCATATGACACTATTCCCTAAACACTTCTCCAGATATTGCCCATGTCCCAACAGCAAGAAAATTTCTACCCCTGATGGAACCCTCGTTACTGTAGCTGGACAAGGAGATGTCCAAATAACCTCAAACATGATACTAAAAAATGTTCTTCATGTCCCTAAGTTATCCACAAGTCTGATATCTATACAAAAACTTACCAAGGACCTCTTATGTAATGTAGGTTTCATAGCAACTCTTGTATATTGCAGGACAAGAAGTCAGGGAGGACGATTGGACATGCTAGAGAATGGAATGTCCTTTACTACATGGAAGATTTGAGTCTGCCCATTGAGAGTTCATTGTCGTTAGGGACATCCTTCCTTTCTGGTCGTAAAGTTAATATTTCCTTGTTTAAAAATTTAAATCTAGAAGATCTTCATTGTGAGGTGTGTGAGCTTGCCAAACACAAGCATGTACCTTTTCCTATCAGCAATAAAGTAAGCAATTCTCCATTTTATCTTGTTCATACGGATGTGTGGGGTCCCTCTAATATTCCTAGTACTTCAGGGGCTAAATGGTTTATAACCTTTATAGATGATTGTACAAGGGTAACATGACTTTTCCTTCTTAAACACAAATCTGAGGTCAAATATGTTTTTTTACAGTTCGTTTCAATGATTAAAAATCAATTTGGGGTTAATATAAAAATAATTAGGTTTGATAATGCCAAAGATTACTTCAATCATACTCTAAATTCTTTTTGTCGAAAGGAAGGAATAATCCATGAATCCTCATGGGTAAACACACCCCAACAAAATGGGATTGCAGAAAGGAAAAATGGGCACTTATTAGATCAAACTAGAGCACTTCTTTTTCAAAATAATGTTCCAAAAAGATTTTGGGGGGAAGCTATTCTCACTGTTGCTTACTTGATTAATAGATTACCTTCTACTGTTTTATCTTCAAAAAGCCCCATGGAAGTCTTAAACTCATTCTACCCACATATAATCCATACAAATAACCTTCAACCTAGAATATTTCGGTGTCTCCTTTGTACATGTTCATAGTAATGGAAGAGGAAAACTTGACCCAAGGGCAATAAAATGTATTTTCTTGGGGTACTCAGCCACACAAATAGGGTATAAGTGTTTTCATCCCCCATCCAAAAAATTATGTGTCAAGAGATGTTACTTTCAATGAACAAGTAAGCTACTTTGACCAATCTCATCTTCAGTGGGAGTCTTTAAGAGAGGAAGATGAACCTTTATATTACCAAATCTGTCTTTTGGACCAGAAACAAAAATTCAAAAGAATACTACCACTATATGTGAAGCTGAAGCTGAAGAGGAACAAGTAGAGGTGAATCACATACCTCAATCTACAGGACTAGCAACTAAACCACATGATAATACAAAGTTTGGGAAAAATTTGGTGTACACACGAAGAGGAAAGGCCATTCCAAGATCTACTCATGTTCAAGAATCCAATCCTACAACATTACCTAAGGTAATTCCTTTTGATCCTATAAATTCTAACTCTATTGGTTGTGATGAATTTCCTTCTGAAAAACAAGTCGAATAGATAGATCATAATTTAGACCTCCCAATTGCTCTTAGAAAAGGAACCAGAACGTGCACCAAACAACAACCTTACCCCTTGACAAATTATTTATCGTTTGAAAAATTCTCACCTACTCATAAAACCTCTCATAAGCCTAAACACCACAACTACACCTTCTTTTGTATCTGAGGCATTAATTGACAAAAAATGGAAACAAGCCATGGACTTGGCGATGGAGGCATTGGAGAAAAAAAATACTTGGCAGCTAGTCTACCTACCACCTAGAAAAAGGGCTGTTGGGTGCAAATGGGTTTACACAGTGAAGTACAAGGTTGATGGGACTATTGAGAGGTATAAGGCAAGGTTGGTGGCCAAGGGATTCACCAAACATATGGAGTGGATTACTTAGAGACTTTTGCACCAGTTGCCAAAATGAACACGATTGGAGTAATTTTGTCCTTGGCAGCAAACTACAATTGGGAACTGCAACAATTTGATGTAAAAAATGCATCCCTACATGGGGATCTTGAAGAAGAAATATACATGGAGATACTGCCGGGTATATGGACAGATTGAGGCCAACACAATTTGCAAATTAAAAAAGGCACTGTACGGGTTGAAACAATCGCCTAGAGCATGGTTTTGGAGATTCACCAAAGTTATGACAAGTCTTAAATATAAACAGAGCCAAGGGGACCACACTTTATGCATCAAACATTTTGATTCGAGGGGAGTAACAATACTATTGGTCTATGTGGATGATATAATTATTACTAGGAATGATAAAAAGGAGCAACAAAGGTTGAGCC